GGCCATCATTCTTGAGTCCTTTCCATCTGGGGTCACCCTTAAGAATACAAGGTCAGGATGCAGCCCAGGGTCGCAGCTGCACCATTATGTCCAGACTCCATGCAAATGGGGCTCTCCTCCAACTCATAAAAGTGAGCCCTTACCCAGGATGTTGGGGAAACACCCAGAACCCAGGCACCTGAGACAGGACCCCAGCAGCTCCTCCATGGACTTGGTACCAAGCTGTGTTTTCCTCCTGATCATTTTTCAAGGTCATTCTCAGGAGAGGGGAGCGCTGAGACCTGTGTCTGTGCCTGTGCCTGTTTGTGCTTCCAAGGGATTCTCAGTGACTTTGTGTCTCTGTGTTTGCAGGTGTCCAGTGTGAGGTGCAGCTGGTGGAGTCTGAGGGAGGCTTGGTGCTGCCTGGAGGGTCTCTGAGACTCTCCTGTGCAGCCTCTGAGTTCACCTTCAGTGACTACTGGATGCACTGGGTCCGCCAGGCTCCAGGGAATGGGCTAGAGTGGGTCTCACGCATTAATGGTGATGGTAGTAGTTACATAAATTATGCCGACTCTGGGAAGGACCGCTTCATCATTTCCAGAGACAACTCCAAGAAACGCACTGGGTCCGCCAGGCTCCAGGGAATTGGCTAGAGTGGGTCTCACGCATTAGTGGTGATGGTAGTAGTTACATAAATTACGCCAACTCTGGGAAGGGCCGCTTCATCATTTCCAGAGACAACTCCAAGAAGACGCTGTATCTGCAAATGAACAGCCTGAGGCCTAAGGACACAGCCCTGTATTACTGTGCTAGAGACACAGTGAGGGGAAATCAGTGTGAGCCCAGATGCAAACCTCCCTGAGGGAGGCAGCAGGGCTGGGTTGCAGGGAGGATCCAGGACACCAGGGTGAGATCAGGACCAGCAAAGAGAGGGCCAACTCAGAAGCTGTCCCTGGAGGGTTGTGCAGGCTTCCTATTGGGGTCAATGCTTTCTTCCCTCCTAGTGTCCCTGGGGCAGTTCCTGCTGCCTTCTTTGTGTGTTAAATTAGATTCTCTGCAGGCAAAAACGTAGGAAGTGGCTGTGTTTTCAGATCTGGTTGACTTCTCATCTGTGCCCTTCTTGTCACCATGTCCCCATTGGTTGCTTTCTGGGTTGACAAGAAAAACATTGTAAGGATACCTGCCCCCCTCCCTAAGAGTGATGTCCCCCAGCCTCCCACGCAGTGCTGAGCAGAGATCAGGGATTCCAGGCCCCAAACCTCACCTGAGGGTCATCAGCCCCTTGCTCTGCCCTCAGAGGAGCCCTTTGGGGACAGTTAGCCACTTGACTCTCACTGACATGGCTGCACATGGATCTAAGGTCTGATCCTGCAGGCATTGTCCTTCCGTGAGCCTGGGAGAGAGACCTAGCTCTCAGATTGTCCTTGAGGGAGGCAGGACGAAGGCCCAGTGATGGGGCCTGTCACAGCTGGGCCCTGTTCTCCATGAGTCTCAGAACCTGTTCCCGACTGACACGTCCCAACTCCTGTCCTGCTTCCCCTGGAGAATCCACCTGGATCCTGAGAACCTGCTGAAGGAGACTTGGTCCCCACCAACCTCTGCTGTGCCTCCAGGCTCCGCAGACACCACACCTTCCTCACCTCTGTCCTCTGCCGCCCACGTTCTCACCCCATTGGGCCTGCACAGGATGTCCCTTGTGGCTATGCTCTGCCCTCTCCTTCCAGCCCTGGTAGGTTTGCCTTAAATGCACCCCAACGCCATCCCCTCATGCGCATCTCCTGTTCCAGGCCCTCCCTGAGACGCCAAGGTCAGGGCTACTCAGGCAGCAAGAAGCAGGCCTCAGGAGCCCTGCAGTGTCCACGTGCAGTGCCCACCTGTAATATCAGGCCATGGGGGACCCTCCTATGCCAGGTGGAGACATAACTGACCACTGACACTGAACACCTCCAACAGTTCACACCTGTGCTGAGGGAAACTCCAGGGAGCTGTGAGCTGCAGAGAATCATGATGGACAAGCCGTGGTCACTGGAGTCAGAGGGCTGTCAGGGAAGGGCTGGTGCCTGGTCACCTATATTGTTGCCAACGTCCCACTGACCAGAGCCCAGGTACACAAGGACCTCTGTGAATCCTAAAAGTGGTGGAACAGCCTGGTCAGCATGACTCAGTGGTTGAGCATCGACTTCTGAACCAGGAGATAACTGTTCCATTACCAGTCAGGACACATGCCCTGGTTGTGAGCAACATCCCCAGTGTGGAGTGTGCAGGAGGCAGTCAATCAATGATTCTCTCTCATCATTGATGTTTCTGCCTCTGTCTCCCTCACACTTCCTCTCAGATAGCAATTAAAATAATTAAATAAATAAATGAATAAATGAAAATATTGCAGGTTTGATGCGCAGTATGGGTATAAATGGGAGGTAACTGATCAGTATTTCTCTCTCACATCAGTATTTCTCTATTTACTTCTATCTCTGTCCTTTCCTTTACCTCTAAAAAATCTATATCTATATCTATATCTATATCTAAATCTAAATCTAAATACCTATCAATATTTCTCCAAGAAGAGGTACATTGATTTTATCCCTAAAGACTCACTGATTGCTCCCACATCCTACTTCTTGACCACCTCCTGCAGCACATTTCCTGCTGTGGAAGAAGAGGTCTCTGGGCACAGTGACCAGGACCCCAAGGAAGGCCTGTTTCTCTGAGGTCAGAGTCAGCACCTCCTTCCAGGAGAAGCCCCAGAGGCCTGGGCCTCCTCTCACCTCTTGCCCTTTGTATGTGCAGACACCTCCCATATGCAAATGCCCACATGGCCACCAGACCCACAAACACAGTTGGCATCCACTTAAATTCAGGGCCTCCTCACCCTGGAGAATACTTTCTGGGGGATGAGCACATCACCTGCTAGACATGACTCCCGTGTGGCTCTTCCTCTTCCTGCTGTCAGCTCCCAGATGTGAGTGACTCAAGGGCTTAGACATGAAGAGATGGGGATCCTGCATCTGAGCCCAGGACTCACTGTGTTCTCTCTGTCCCAGGTGTCCTTTCTGAGGTGCAGCTGCAGGAGTCAGGCCCAGGACTGGTGAAGCCCTTGCAGACCCTCTCCCTCACATGTACTGTCTCTGGATTGTCCATCACAACCAGTGCTTCCTGCTGGCATTGGATCCGCCAGGCCCTGGGGAAGGGGCTGGAGTGGATGGGGCGCATATGTAGTGATGGGAGCACTAACTACAGCCCCTCCCTCAAGAGCTGAACCTCCATCTCCAGAGACACATCCAAGAACCAGTTCTCCCTGCAGCTGAACTCCGTGACCACCGAGGACACGGCCGTGTATTGCTGTATGAGCAACACAGTGAGGGAAAGTCAGTGTGAGCCCAGGCACAAACCTCCTGAGGAGATAGCTGGGCTGGGTTGCAGGGGACGCTCAGGACACCAGGGGGCGCTCAGGACCACAAAACATGAGGACCAGGTCAGGAGCTGGGACCTGGGGGATATCTTCTCTGATGATCTATCAGTGGTTTTATTCTCCAGGAGTAAACACCCTCCTCAAGGACTCACTGCCTCTCCCTTTTATGACTTACATTTCCTTTCACACCACCCCTTAGAGGAAGTCACTTACTTCCTCTGCCCCATTGATCAGTCAGAAGGAATCTTTAATATTTCCTTTCGTCTCTCCTCCAGGAAATGTTGCATTTTAAGGAGGCCATTGGGGACGTCGTTGGGCAGTGACCAGAGAAATGGTATTGCAGCCTCAGCAACCAATATCCTTGGCTGTGCTAACAAAGGGACAGTCTTCTGTAAGGATCTTCTGTTGGATGAAACAAATGAGGACTTTAATATCACAGAAAGGAACTTGGTAGCACTGATGTGTATTTTGTATTTCAAAAGATTAAGAAAATAACAGCGTATGAAATGAAAAATACATGGAGTAGGACTAAGAATGCAGATGAAACGTAAGTGAACTTAAAGAGTGTAATAGACACTTTCCAAAATGGAACACACAATAAATTTTCCAGAAAATAGCACAGTGTCAGGAATGTAAGAGACAATCAAAGCAGTCAGGCATATAAACTTGTAATTGGAATCCCAGAAAGAGAAGAGAAAGCACCAAAAAGATTGGTTGAAGGAATGATGGCAAATATTTACAGAATTTTGTGTAAACTATAAAGAGATGTAAGAATACCAAAGTACCTCAAAAGAATAAGAATAAACAAAATTAAAATAAGCCACATTAAAATCAAACACTAAAAAAACAATGAAAACCATAAAATGCCTAAGAGTGGCAAAATACACACACACACACACACACACACAACATAAAATGCCTAAGAGCGGCAAAATACACACACACACACACACACACACACGAATTAAAGAACAAGATTAATAAAAATATCAAAGATCACATGAAAAACTACCAAAACCAGGAAATAATGGATGAGATCTCTAAAGGGATGAAGGAACATTGAAAATCCATCAACTTAGAATTCTAAACTAACTGAAAATGTATTTCAATACTGGATGGAAATGAAATGACAAAATATCAAATTTGTGAGATGCAGCTAGGACAATCCTTAAAATGAAATGTATAGCATTAAACACTTATTTTAGAAAAGAATAACAATCTTTAAATCAATTGGTTAGAAAATCAAAAAGTTAGAAAAGGGAGAGTACCAAGATGGAGACATAGGTAAATGCTGGTTCTTGCTGCCTCCCACGACCACACGAAATTACAACTAAAATATAGAACAATCGTCATTCCAAACCACCTGAAATCTAGCTGAATGGAAGTTCTACAACTAGGGAGGTTAAGAAGAAAGTACACCCATACTGATGGGAAGAGAGGAGCCATGGAACTGGCTAGCCAGACACCCACATGTGGTGTGTGTTTAATCAGGGGGGATATCTCAAATGTGGAGGCCTCCTGTGAGAAGCAAAGGGTACCAGCCCCACACAATAGCCCCCAACCCAGGTTTCCAGAGCTGGAAGAGAAGTCCTCATTACTTCAGGTTGTAGAAACCAGAAACAATTGTCAGTGAGTGACATAGAGGCAGCTGGAGACCCACGCTGTTCCTCTTAAAGGTCCAGCACAGGATTTTACAGGGTCCCACTTCATTTGAGCTCCCATGGCAGGTGGTGGAATTGGGGGATCCAGGAACATACAGGGAAGAACTGGATTCTTTGGTATTTGGGCAGGAACTGTGGTGGCTTTTTCCCGAACAGAAGTGCTCACGGGAGTCATTGTTTCTATGCTGGGACTTCCCCATCACATAGCTGCCTCAAAGCCATATCTGAGTTTCCATCCAGGTGGCTCACATGGTTTGCTCTGCCCTGGTGATTCCCTGAGAACTTGCCCCATCCAATTTGCAGCCCCACCCAAACTGTTTGCATCAGCTTTTCCATATGAATGGCTTGTCCTGGCTCAGGCTTCAGACTCTTCTAAAATCTTTCAAACAAGCAGCATATAGCATCAGCATGCCCCAAACCTATCAATAAGTGGCCCAAGACCTGGCACTAGCACCAGCCTGCCTTGCTTCACAACTTGTTCTCACCTGGGCACTTCCAAGCCCAAAACAAGTAGCAGCCACCTGCAGATCCCCCTGTAGCTCCTGCTTGGTGGCCACAGATAGTGGCTGACTTTGCTCCTTCCAGGAGGTCTAGAGCCAGTGTACCTGGTGGACAACTTCAGACCACATAAGATTACAACTCCACACATCCAGCAGGGCAAGGAGGAGGAATAAGAAAAGGGGGAGGAGGAGGAAGAGGATGAGGATGAGGATGAGGATGAAGAAGAATCAGAGGAAAGGATAAAAATATGAAAAATGGCAATAAATCCATATCTATCAACAATGGCTTCTTAAAAAAAAAGAAAAGAAACCAACAGGACAAGGAGGAGGAGTAAGAAAAGGGGGAGGATGAGGAAGAGGAGGAGGAAGAGGATGAGGATGAGGATGAAGAAGAACCAGAGGAAGGGATAAAAATATGAAAAATGGCAATAAATCCATACCTATCAACAATGGTTTCATAAAAAAAAGAAAAGAAACCAACAGAAAACCTAATGAACAAAATAAACTGTTGAATAAAATAGAACCTGGGGCATGGAAACAGGGAACAAACTGAGGAACCTCAGAGGGAAGAGGGAGAGGAGGGTGGGGAGATATTAAACAAAGAACTAATGAGCATATATGCATTACCTAAGAACACAGATAGAAGGGTGATGAAAGCCTGGGGTGGGGCAGAAACGGGATAGAGGGGCGGTATGGTTGGAAAAGGGGGGACTTACCGAAAACTCATATTAACATATTTACTAAAACCCTCAACAGAATATTAGCAAATCCTACTAGCAATATCCTATATAATAAAGAGGTAATATGCAAATTCACACTTGTGTCATCACAAAATGGTCACCCCCATGTTGTCACATGATGGCCACCCCACATTGTCACAAGATGGCCACCCCCACATCATCAAAAGATGGCTACCCCATGTCGTCACAAGATGCCCGCCCCCAAGTCATCACAAGTTGGCTGCCCCAATGTCATCACAAGATGGCCACCCCATGTTGTCACAAGATGGCTGCCACAAGTGCCCACCCCCAAGTCATCACAAGATGGCCACCCCCACATCATCACAACATGGTCACCACAAGATGCCGCCCCCACATTGTCACAAGATGGCCAGCGGGAGGTCGATTGAGGGAAACCATTCCTGCAGGGAAGGGCAGTTGGCGGCGATTGGGCCAGC